TTCTGATGTCCAACTCTGAACTCTGCTGAACAATGTTTCTGGATAACAACTACTGTTTCATTGAATTCTTCGTCAGCCAATTAGTTCAACACTCGTAAGTAGAAAGATATGTATTTTTTTTCTTTAACCAATCTTTTTTCAAATAGCTATAATATACATGAGAATCAAAAATACTCTGGAACAGTGCTCATAGTGTCCCAGCTTGAGACATTTACCTTGGTCTAAGAACGGAATCCAAACAGTGGAAGGGCACTGGCAGCGGGAGGCCTCATTAAGGAAAGTGCGCCTCTGTTTAAGAATGGTTTCTGTTTAAGAACGGACTTCTGGAATGGATTAAGTTCGTAGACGAAGGTACCACTGTATATTATAACTACAGTGGTACCTCGGGTAAGAACTTAATTCGTTCTGGAGGTCCATTGTTAACCTGAAACTGTTCTTAACCTGAGGTACCACTTTAGCTCATGGGGCCTCCTGCTGCCACCACACAATTTCTGTTCTCATTCTGAAGCAAAGTTCTTAACCTGAGGTACTATTTCTGAGTTAGCGGAGTCTGTAACCTGAAGCGTCTGTAACCCAAGGTACCACTGTAGTCCAAAACCTGTACCATGTAATACAATTTTAAAAGTATTGTTCCCACACAGCCATAGTGCATGGAACTATGCTATTCCAGACGGTAGGTGAGAAATAAGTTTACTTCATGTCTAAAACATCAAATAATTTTCATCTACCATCCAAATATATAAGTCGTTGATCATCCCCTCTCAGAGTGGAGCGATAGCTCCCCCACTGTTATTCTGCTAATATTGGTTTTAAACGTCTGGTAGGTGGATGCCCAAAATCTGACATATTGCTCAGGGACTGTTAGGAACCGTTTCAATAATGTTTCTTACTTTAATAAACCAGGGCCGCAGTTCAGCATACAGTTATGCACATTTGAGACTCTTGGTTTCAATAGAAATTAGGTCCTAGCTAGAGTAATGTCCATGTGCCCAGTTTTGCAGCAGGCAGTCCTTTATTTGAAGGACAGTCAGAGGATTGGCCTCTTTTTAAAAGTGTCATTTACTTGAAAGCCTGTCTAGTTGACCTAGATTAAATAGAAAGTACTATAAAGAGGCTTAGCTCCTGGATAGCCGACTGAGCAGGTGAGTGGCTCACCTGGTCACGGTGCCCCTTATGGGTAGATCTACTGCATTTCTACTTAAATTCTAGCAACTATTTCTAAATTTTTATGTGTGTGTGTTAAGTAGCACATGCAAATTTTATGCAAATCTTTGTACTCTTTCATTATTATTTTTTTACAAAGTGTAAGTGGGCACCCTAAACTAGACATGACAGGAGACATGTGACAACTGCCATCTTGCCTTTACTACATAATATATCCCTGGTAACATCTAATAAGAGAAGTGCTACCATTGGAATGCTTGGGGGAACCCGAAACCAAATGCAATGATGTTTTGCCAGGTGTTTGTTGTACTAGATGTTATCAGGAAACCATGAGTCCCTAGAAACCACATGTCCATCATTAAGGGCCTTCTTTTTGTTTACTCATGTGTTGGATTATGGTCTAGCCTAAATATAGTTTGTTACTTGAGTGAGAGACAGAGATGGATGACAGAAAACACAGCCTTCCTTGAATAATGTCACATTTCTCCTACAACACCTTAAATGATATTATTGGGATTAGAAATGGCCATAATGAGAGCTGTGGGAAAATTCTGCACGAGAAAGCAAGTCATTTATCTATTGCGCTGTTTTTGCTAGACTTTTTCTATTTCTGGAATGTTGTCTGTTTATTTTTATTCCTTCCTCTATTTTCATAAAGAAAAAAACACACACATGATAAAAGTCGCACTTGATTATATAGAAATTAAAGTATTATCCATACAATGATGTTTCCATTATGGTGCAGAAACATTTTTTAAAAAAGATAAAAAGATTTGTTACTAAAATAATGTGCCTTGATGCTTGATGTGCCTTTAGATTTCTGCAATTCAGTTGACATTACCCAAAATAATTGTGCTTAAGTGGTAATTCCAGGCATAAACCAACCATAACCAAGCACTTTAGAGTCCCAGCGAATTGAATGAGGGAGTTAAGTATGTGCTTAAAATTAATCTAGACAATTGTCAGGAGGAAAGCAGGGCATAAATGGCAGAGAAAGTGAAAAGCAAGCAGGCAGGGTCCAAGTAGGGATACAGGAAAAATTCAATTCAGTTTGCATTTAAAAACATACTGTACTGAAATCACACTTTTCGAAGAGATACGCAAACCAAACCAAAGCCACCCTTCAACATTCGCACTTCTCTGAATTTTGCAATTTGAATCTCCAGGCAAGTAATATCTACAAAAAGGCATATACAAGTGTAAAGTGTGCCTATAACACATATATTAGTGTAAATAACATACTAGAATGCATTATATTAGGGGGAAAAGCTTGCATACAAAAATGTTTATATTAGCAGAAATTGACACTAAAATTCTGGTGAATTTTCATGAGGACTTTTCACCCCCAAATTTGCCAGCTGGAGTGGAAAATTTGGAAAACCAAACTTAAGAGTAGGAAAATGAGAAACTGGGAGAAACTGAAAGTAACATATTTGCTTATTCCTAGGTCAAACTGAACAAGGTGAGATATGGGAGCTGTTGACCAGGTTGCCAGCAGCCTCTTCTTTTCATGGGAACATCTTCCTTTCATGGGGCTCCTTCAGATGACCTATTTATTCAGCATTGATCTTGGTTTGCTCGTAGGATAAGCAAACAATTAATGGGAAGATATGTAAACACCCCACAAGAAAATCAAGATGAATGCAGGATGAATGCTTGCTGTCATACACACATCCTGTAAACAAAGCAGAACAAATGCTCAGTAAAGACCAGACATCGTCTAACCTTTGCAGAAGCTTTGCCAAGCAAATCAGGATGAAAACTAAACAGGTTGTCTGCAAGAGCCTTAACAACTACTTGCTCTCTTACAAATTTCATTTCCCCTCCCTTTCTTTTTCACTCATACCTCTTCTGTGCTCATGCAAAAGTAAATTGCAACGCTGTGCCACCTGAAAAATATAACAGAGCAAATAAATAAGCATCGGGCTGTACAAAAAACAGCCCAGAAGAATCAGTGCAGTGCTTTCCAACCTTGGTTCTCCAGCTGTTTTCAGACTGCAACTCCCATCATGCCTAGCTAGCAGAACCAGTGGAATGTATTTGTGATTGGGTGAGTTGGAAAGCTTGTTTGAAAAGCTTCACCCTATTCTAGCCATGTTTACATCCCCATTGAATCTGAGACCAGCTAACAACGTGGTTTGACCTCCATCACTATCTAGCCCTCTGTGTCATTTTCTGCCCTTCTACAAACAAACAAGAACTCTCACCTTTTCAGAAGTGGGAGAGGATAGATAGAAATGCTGCTTAGAAACACCCTTCTAAGACCACCCAGTTTTGGGTGCTCAGGATTGCCATTTCCAGTTAAGCAGAGACCTGCCTCTGGCAAGACCACCCTACCATTCCTCTTCCTTCTTAGTGGTATGACCCCTGCTCCTCCTATGAATGGAGTGGAGTGGTGATGGCCAAATTCAGCCATTTGGGCTTTTTCGAGTACTTAAAGTAAAAAAGAAATAAAGGTTTTGAGCCAAGTCAACGAGAGTTTGCCCATTCCTGCAAAGAACCAAAACAATTACCCATGGTGCTTAGTACAAATCTCTACCCCCTTTCATTCTTTACTTCTGAGACAGTGTTTGTTTAAGCATACCTTATTTGCTTCTCTATCACTGAACTGCACTCGCAGCAATTTCAATAGATTATTTCAGTGCTGATTATTTCAATTATTTCAAACACACAGCATGATTGGCCTGAGAACCTAGAAAGCAGTATAATGTTTTTGGAACAGTCTTTCTTTCTTTAAGATTTATTAATCAAAAGAGAAATGAATTGCCGGCAATGTACTGAAAGGGAGAATTAACAGGAATGTGGCCTAATGTGTTTATCCCAGTTACCTCACGGTGATACGAACTTTCGGGATGTCCTCAAACTGTAAGCTCATGTGGATTTCTTTGCAAATGGTCTCCAAACACCAAGGATGGCTGCGCAGCTCTGAGAGTTAGACTTTTGTGTCCACACATGGGAATTGAGAGCTAGACTCCTGAAATGGTAGAGTGAAGGCTCGTCCACACCTGCCTCTTGATTTATAGGCATGGTTTCTTTGGTCCTGTCACTTTCCCTGGGAGAACCTACTATTTGCTGTTGAATTGGAACAAACATCAGTTGGTTTTTCTGCAGGTAGGTGTTTTTTTTCTGATTCAGTAGTAAGCAGTGGGTTTTCCCATGGAAAGTGATGAGTCAACAGAAAAACCTCTCGGAACTGTGCCTAGAAATCCCCAGACAAGCAGGAATGTGGACAAGCCGTAAGTGCTTAGCTGATGCTTAAGGATAATGAGTTAAAATAAATAACAATAAATAAATAAATTACTGTGATATAAGGTTAATTATAGGGAATGGAATGTGAATTAGAAATAACTGGGAAAACAATGCAGCAACAAGAGGAATTTATGGACACATCAAGAATGGAGCCAGTTTTTGGAAAAATATATTAAATTTGTTTAAGTTTGTGATTGATTCATTAAAATTTGGAAAATTCAATAAAAATGATTTGGCAAAGAAAGAAAGGAAGGAAGGAAGGAAGGAAGGAAGGAAGGGTGGACAAGCCCTGAATTGGGTCACAGGAGAGGAGTCAGTGTTGTCATTTTTCAGTGCTTGCCCACATAAAAATGTTTCTGCAAAGAACTTTTAGCCCAGTTGCTGTAGTGCTGATTTTGCACTTGTTGTGAGTTTCAACCATAGAGGCCCATTCAAAAACACAAATTCGTCTGCATTTGAAATGGCAATGGCCCATTCTATCACCTTGTTCTGCAGTATGGGTGGACCTGACCTTATTCCATCAATCCTGGGTGGAATGTATTGTGCTTAGCTGTGCTTCCATGAATAAAGGTAATCATTTTTGGAGTGTCTTCTTCCTGGATAGCTCAGCTGGTTAGAGTATGGCACTGATAACACCAAGGTTGCAAGTTTAATCCCAGCATGGGACAACTGCATATTCCTGCATTGCAGGGGATTGGACGAGATGATCCTCAGGGTCCTTGCCAACTCTACAATTCTATGAATAGACTAATAGACTGTGGTTCAGAAGCTGGCAGATCTGAATTGTGGCCTGGCCATCTCCATGAATTTTTCATTGGGCATGGAGTTTAGCATCGTAACAACCATGAAGGCCTAGGAAGCTATGGATAAACTGCAATTCTGTGCCTAATGAAAGAGACCAACTAGACATTTCTTACAAATGCATTGTAATCAGGGCTGGCTGAATGATTCATTTGTAATTAATTGATTAGATGGCTTATAATTTATTGCGAGTTTTATGTGAGCAGATGGCAACGCCTACAAATGTTTACTCAGAATTGTTCTAATTTTAGCCTGGAGTTTACTCGCCCTTTGAGTTTTCTCTCTTTACTCATGAATTTGCTGAGAAATCCTCCTCAAATAAAACTTAAAATAAACATATTTCCATTTCTTTATTGTATTCATCCTCTGACCTTAAATCTTATATTTGTTAAAAGAGAGAAGATAATAAAAGGAGAGGGTGGGGGTGTGTGGAAATTAGTCGGCCATGGTGATGTATTTCTGTGGAGATTAAAATAGCAGATGGTACCCGGTGGATTTAAAACTCATGTCATGCTCAACCTTGAAAATCACTAAAAAAAAGGATATTCTTTGGTAAATATTTTGAATTTCAGTGCTCTCTCAATGGAATCTATAAGGCCAACGCTGGATTTACACATATGCCAAGTAAACTATGGTTTGGGGCCTCAGATCACGAGGGGCCTTTAAATGCAAAAGATAACTGAATTTCAAATTTGATGCAATTAGTTAAAATAATGGGAAAATGCACTTTTTTAATAATGCTATGGGACCTCTTAAACTTGACATTGTTTGGGGCCTCGGTGTATCCTCTAAGCATTTCTTTATTATAAACAGGGCTGAAGGATTCTAAGACAGTTAAAGCATTACACACACACACACACACACACACACAAACAAGCAAATGCTGGTCCTGGAATAGTGATTCCCAGTTGCACAACAGGCAATTGCCCTTTCCTGCTTAGCTGAAGATGTGCTTCAAGAGAAGATTCATTCCACTGAAGTTAACTTTTGTTCTTGCATAAGAACCCTATATGCTAACAGAACCTCCGGCAGGCCCGGATTTGGGTTGTGTTAGAACGTGAAGCGGCTTGCAATCAGCATAGCTAGAAAAGCAGCAGTCAGCATCTGAAATAATGTTCTCTCTCTAAATTAGCTTTGGAGTTCATCATGTCAAGCTGACCTGCTGCGTGCTTCATGACTTATAAAAGTACTCATTGCCTTCATTGTATGGCATCTATCGAAGCCAAATAGAATTCCACCCCCGGCCCAGTTCCTTTGTACCTTTCTTGCCTGTTTCTGAAAAAGCTCTTCTGTGCCCTCTTCAAGGTATTCTTTTCTCTCTCTGCAACTCTCGTCTTTCTTGGCAACAGCCACACACTACCAATTGCGGCCAGCTTGTCATGCTTTAACTTTTAAGAAAATCGCCTGGACTAGGACCTGAGAGAAATGAAAACTCCTCCCAGTTTGGAGAGTTTCTCACTAATTTACCATATTGAGCTATATTACATTGGCACACGAACTTACCCATGGCTGTAGGAAATGGTTGGAATATTTTCCTGATCTGAACTACCTCCAAACAAAGCAAATTCAACTGTAAATTTTACATGAATTATCTGCACCATTGCCGTTAAGCGTTAGCTGAGTTCTGTCTCTCCGATTTAATACCAATAGAAGCTCTCCCTGAGAATCCTTAAGAATTCTAAAATTCCCTACCCGGGGGAGAAAAAAACCAAAGAGAAGTGACGTCAATGAGAACACTTTTAGAAGTTGAAAATGTATTATTCTTTTTTTGGAGGGGGAAAATAACTGTTCCCAGCCTATCTAAACAGGAGTCCCACTGGGTTTTCAATATCACGCTCCTTTTAATGTGTAAGCCGTTTAATGGCTTTGGCAACTTAATAAATTCTATTTCTTCCTGAATCTCCTGCCCCTTCAGTCTTTCTGCAACTCAAGATGTAGCTCACTTGTTTCTCAAATAGAGGGCACTTTTTCCCTCTTTATTGCAGATCCACAGGCCACTTGCAACAGCCTTTCCCTAGACAGACAAAACTGAGTAGAGTCCAAAATATTAGAATAACATTTGTCTCCATTGCTGATGAGGGCCAGCACATATTAATTTGTCATTTGTGGCATATTTATCCACCAGATTGTAGACTATTGCCATACTGAGACTGTTAAAAGCCTTCATTAAAATGGATGCCTCAATCTAATATGTTTCAGTGCAAGCGTTCTATTATGAAATGGGATACATATGTAAATATATTTTAATTCAGGGTCCGCTGAGGATGCTTTGCAGAGACAGTAGCTACCAAGACATGAATTAAAACATTAAGCATATAGTGAACAAAAAGAAAATTGGACTCCTTTTGTCATGATGCATTTTCTTTCGCTCTGCCAAACCAGAGACGTTTGCCTTGAGACTGTGTTACTGATGGAACCGGTACAATATCAGCAGGAAGTTACCATGGCAATTTTAATTTTGAAAGATTCTTTTTATTTTATTTTATCCTGTAATCCTCATGTGACATTACAAGAATGGAAGGAAACTTAACGCAGTCAGGATGCTGATAGGCTGCACAGATATTTACACATACCCTTTTAGAGAATATTAATGGAGAAATGTGTATAATCACTTTCTTTATTTTGAGAGCTGGACCATAAAGAAGGCTGATCGCTGAAGAATCGATGCTTTTGAATTATGGTGCTGGAGGAGACTCTTGAGAGTCCCATGGACTGCAAGAAGTTCAAACCTATCCATTCTGAAGGAAATCAGGCCTGAGTGCTCACTGGAAGGACAGATCCTGAAGCTGAGGCTCCAGTACTTTGGCCACCTCATGAGAAGAGAAGACTCCCTGGAAAATACCCTGATGTTGGGAAACAGGGAGGGCACAAGGAGAAGGAGACGACAGAGGACAAGATGGTTGGACAGTGTTCTCGAAGCTACCAGCATGAGTTTGACCAAACTGCAGGAGGCAGTGGAAGACAGGAGTGCCTGGCATGCTCTGGTCCATGGGGTCACAAAGAGTCAGACATGACTAAACGACTAAACAACAACAACAACATGAACCTCAACCTATGCCTGACCAATTGGAAAAATTAAAATACAGCCGTACCTTGGATCCCAAATGCCTTGTGACTCGAACATCTTGGCTCCCGAACACCGCAGACCCGGAAGTGAGTGTTCCGGTTTGTGGACGTTCTTTAGAACCCGAACGTCCGACAGGGCTTCCACAGCTTTTGATTGAGTGCAGGAAGCTCCTGTAGCCAATCAGAAGACTTGGTTTTTGAACATTTTCAGAAGTCGAACGGACTTCTGGAACGGATTCTGTTCGAGAACCAACGTACGACTGTAGCCTTGTTTTTCATGGCAATATGAGCTTTTCAGTCACTTTGTGATGGACAACAATGTAGATCCCACTCTTGCAGTTCAATCCATTTATTGATCTAGTCAACAGTCCTTGCAATAAAACTTACACATCATACAAAAAAATATTATATCTGTTATTTGATATGAAAATAGGATCGCATCGTTTTGGATTAGAAAACCATTTGTTTCTTCCCAGCTTACAAGAAGATTAAGGGGACATGTTAGCTGTGTATATATGTCAGGGACTAGCCAAATGAGAAGATTTGGGTCCTGGGTCCTGGTGGCTGGAAACTGGCCACACCCCAGAGGAGGGGATGAGCTGGGAAGTACTGGAGGCTGGGAGCTTGAGAGATAGTGAAGAGGAGGAAACAGGCAGGTGCTCCAGCACAGGGTAGGGACAGGAGTCAGACTTGGCAGTTCTGTCAAACCACCCTGACAGCTTCTCTGCCAACAGCTTGCAAGCCCTCCCCACTCCCAGAACTATTGCATGTTGCTGAGCAGAGAGCCAGGCAGACCCAGAGAGGGTCCCTTGTAGCTCGCCGTAGACAGAGGGAGGGGACTGACACAGAGGGCTAGGGAGTGAAGGGGTGGGGTTACAAGCCAGTCTGGATAAGGACTCCATCGTAGTACCACTCTATTCTGCCTTAGTCAGACCACACTTGGAATACTGTGTCGAATTCTGGGCACCATACAATTTAAGAAGGATGTTGACAAGCTGGAACCTGTGCAGAGGAGGGCAACCAAGATGATCAAGGGCCTGGAAACTAAACCTTATGAGGAGCACTTGAAGGAGCTGGGTATGTCTAGCCTGGAAAAGGGGAGACTGAGAGGAGATATGATAGCCATCTTCAAATATCTCAAGAGCTGTCACATGGAGGAGGGAGCAGGCTTGTTTTCTCCTGCTCTGGAGGGTAGGACTCGAACCAATGGCTTCAAGTTGCAAGAAAGGAGATTCCAACTAAACATTCGGAAAAACATTCTAACAGTAAGAGCTGTTCAGCAGTGGAAGAGACTCCGATGAGAGGTGGTGGACTCTCCTTCCTTGGAGGTTTTTAAGCAGAGGTTGGATGACCATCTGTCATGGATGCTTTAGTTGAGATTCCTGCATTGCAGGGGGTTGGACTAGATAACCCTTGAGTCCCTTCCAACTCTAAGATTCTATGATTCTAAGTCCCCGTGTGTTATTTGGTCTGCTTTCTTAAATAAAGCAGTGGTTCTCAACCTGTGGGTCCCCAGATGTTGTTGGACTCCAACTTCCATCATCCCTGAGCTCTGGCCTTGCTAGCTAGGGGTGATGGGAGTTGTAGTTCAACAACATCTGGGGACCCACAGGTTGAGAAAGGCTGAGATAAAGAATCTAACTGCAAGTTAGCCAAGTGTTTCACCCTCTTTCTCTGATCTGTGAATGACCTGTCCTCTTTGTCCCTGACAATAAGATTATGCATAGAGTGGAGGAAGTGCTGTGGGAGTGTTGATGTGCTCAGGTCCTGCTCTCACGCTTTCCATAGGCCTCTGTTCCCA